TGAAAGCCAGAGCGGCTTATGCCAATCTGGGCCATCTTTGGCGCCTTCGTGATGTTAGTCTGGCTGTAAAAGGTCGGATCTACAACGCGTCGGTGAGAGCAGTTTTGCTCTATGCTTGTGAAACCTGGCCTCTCCGAGTTGAGGATGTTAGACGACTCTCTGTGTTCGATCGTCGTTGTCTCCGAAGGATTGCTGACATCCAGTGGCAACACCATGTTAGTGATGCAGAGGTTTGGCATCGTGTGTTCGGGCGCAGGGATGATAATTCAATTGGTGTCACCATCTTGAAACACCGACTTCGGTGGCTTGGACATGTTTTACGAATGTCGTCCCAGAGACTTCCACGTCGTGCATTATTTGCCGACTCTGGGACTGGTTGGAAAAAGCGGAGAGGAGGTCAGTGTATGACATGGTGTCGTGGCATGAAAGAGAGCTGCAAAGGGCTAGCTTCTGTTGGACCTTCACGACTCCCTGGTTGGGGTCCGAGAGATGGTGCAACACAGTGGCTAGAGACGTTATCAGATATGGCTCAGAATAGAAGCCAGTGGCGATCCTGCTGCAACCTTCTTTTCAGTCAGTCACAACGTAGAACTTCGTACGTACGTACATCAGTTCGAGTTGCCATACCACATTAGCACAGAGATGCAGTTGTCGATTCAAATCCCATAGTGGTAGAAGTAGTAGGAGTATAATCAGAAATCCAAAAGATTAGGGTTTGAAGAAATTATTGAAGGAGTATAGTACAGTGAAATAAATTTGGAAAGAGAAAAAGATAGAGACATGAAGAATTCAGAAGATTAGAATTTGGTAGAACACAAAGAGTGGATGCATCTTCGCCATTGCAAACGATTTTGAGCCATGTCATTCAAGGTCTCTAACCATCGGTTGCTATCATCTCGCGAATCCCAACCAGGTAGTCTACACTTACCAACATGGCCCAGTCCACTTGTCAGTGACTTCATTGATTTGTGCCACGTTTTTGGTCTGGCCGCCCCTAGCTTTCTTTCAACTTACTCCTACACCATGAAACATTGCACGTCGGGGCAGTCGGTGGTTGGGCATACGTAACACATGTCCCAGCCATCTCAACTGATGAAGTTTCACTACTTCATCAATCGATTTGCCATCCCTACCTAGTACTCGTTTCCTAACAACTGCATTACTTACCCGGTGGTCCCAGGATATGCGAGCAATGCTTCGAAGACACCTATGATCGAACACTAGTAGCCTACGTATATCCTCTACTCTTATCGGCCATGTTTCACTTCCATAAAGTAGGACGGAGCGAACTGCTGCACAGCAAACCCGTCCTTTGGTTGCTAGACGGATATCTCGCCTACGCCATAAATGACGCAAGTTGGCGAAAGCTAGACGAGCCTTCTGTATCCGTGCTGAGATTTCGTCACATACCAGACCACAAGGGCTGATGAGACTCCCAAGATAAGTGAAGTGGTCTACACGCTCAACTACTTCACTTCCTATCATTAGTTCAGGTGTCGATGCAACCCAATCCTGAAGTAACATCTTGCACTTCGAGGGAGAGAATCGCATCCCGAACATGCCTGCATAGTTGCTTATAGTAGTCAGAAGACTCTGCATGTTGTCAGCGTCTTCACCGAGTAAAACTATGTCGTCGGCGTATTCTAAGTCAACAAGTGAGCCTCCTGGCAAAAGTTCAACCCCTGGAGGTTTAGCTGATGAAAGTGCTATCTCTAAAAGTATGCCAATGACAAAGTTAAACAAGAATGGGGAGAGTGGACAGCCCTGACGAACACCACTTGTGGTAATCAGTTCTGATGACAGTTCGCCATAGGCTCTAACTCGACCAGTTGTGTTCGAGTAGAGAGCCTTTATGAGGTTAATGTACTTCTTTGGTACTCCTTTCAGTGACAAACACTGCCATAGAACCTCACGATCAACAGAGTCAAATGCCGCCTTGAGGTCAAGAAATACTACTATTGTGGGACGTCTGAATTTGTGTCTATGTTCTAGAACCTGACGTAGGGTGAATATCTGGTCTATGCAACCACGTCCAGGTCGAAAACCAGCCTGGTTTTCTCTAGTCTGCTCTTCACGAGCTTTGGTTAGGCGACCTAGTATTATTGAAGCTAATATTTTAGACACTATATTAGTCAAACTGATCCCTCAGTGATTGTCACAAGAGTACTTTTGTCCTTTCTTATAGACTGGCACAATCAGTGATTGGGACCAGTTAGATGGAATTACGTCCAGTTCCCAGATTCTACCTAAGACCTCAATCAATCTCACTGCTAGTACTGGACCACCATCCTTAAAAATCTTAGGGGTCAACCTGTCAGGGCCTGCTGCTCTCCCTCGCTTCAGATTTCCTATAGCTTTTTCAACCTCGTAGAGAGTTGGAGGACTTACATCAATTTGCCATTCAGGACGACTGGGGATCGTGGGTAATTGAAGTGTGGCTGAAGGCCAGTTGAACTGATCCCTAAAGTGTTCTGACCATCGATCCAATCTCTTGGATTGAGAATGAATAATATGCCCATCTTTATCTGAGATGGTTTCACTGATATTCGGGTTCCTAATACCGGTTTCTTTAACGAGTCTGAATAGCTGCCTACTGTTACCTATTGCCGCTGCCTTTTCCATCTCTCTTGCTTTCGCTACCCACCACTGTTCACGATCATTACGTAGGCTTCTTATAAGCCTGCGCTTAAGTTGACTCCGCTCTTCGTTATGCTCAGAGCCAGGTGGGATGAGTTTACGAGCATCTATCAGTGCGGTAGATGCTGCCGAGATCCATTGTTTCTCCCTAACGTTATGGTTTACCTTACTAGCGGATACCACTGCTGTTTCCACAGCTTTTCGGATGTCATTCCACGCTGCCTCGGGGTGGACACAACTTACATGGCTGCCTAACTGTTTTTCTAGTTGTTCCTGAAATATATTCTTAGCTTGCTTATCATTAAGTAGAACCCTTAGAGGCTTCCCTGCAGTGTCTTTCCTACGACCAGTAAGACGCAGACAGATACGTGCTCGCACTAGAGCATGATCTGAATCTAAACATGTGCCCCATAATGAGCGACAGTCTTCTATCGAGCCCCTCCATCGGTGGCTGATAGCGATGTAATCTAATTGGGTCCAACGTTGGGACGAATTCGGGGGTTGCCATGTCAAAAGATGTTTTTCCTTATGCTTAAAGTTAGTATTTGCAAGATATAGGCGGTTATCTGAGCATAGCTGCAACAGACGGTCGCCATTATCTGTTCTTTGAGCCATCACACCATAAGATCCACCCAGGTGTCTTTCCCTTTCATTTGGATTACCTACTTGAGCATTAAAGTCATTTGCTACTATTACTACATCAGAACGCCTAGCTTCTCGGAGAATGTCAGAAAGTTTCCTGTAGAACTCATCTTTTATATCGTCTGAGCTGCAGTCAGTGGGAGAGTAGGCAGAGACGACGAAGAGGCAACGACGAGTTTTCCTATCTTTCCGGGTCCTTACTGATCCGTTTAGTCGGACAGCGCATAGACGACTGTCTACTGGGATCCAGTCTAAAAGAGCTAGTTCTGCCCTAGGACTTAATGCTATACCTACTCCAGCGAGGCCACGGGAAGCAGCGTCAGGGCTTCCAGATACACGAAGCGTGTATCGAGATGAAACTTTATTTTGATTAGGTGCGGTCAAATGAATGATACTACTCGGATCTTTTATGCGCGTTTCGGAGACGCAGCACACATCGATGGTGTAAGATTCTAGAGTCCTAGCTAAGGAAGCCTGTTGTCCTATTTGGCACTATGTTCGGACATTAAAAGTTCCTATATGTAGTTTAGAGCGTGGTTTCAGGAGACCAGGAATAACGTTCTGTGTACTCGAATCGTTTGCCCTAGCGGTGCGAGGTGATAAAAGGACGTGGGAAGGGTTAGTCGTGGAGATAACAGAGTTATTAGGTGTAGGAAGGATTTGAAAGCGACCAACTTGGTCTTGTGTGCAGTTACGGGTATGAGGGCTAGTATCACTTCCCGGCTGCCCACACCGTGGAAGGGTATTTCTTGAGGGACCTGAAAAAGAAGTTGGATTAGTGTTGGTCTTAACGACCTGGGAGCGTGACCGCAGTGCCCAAGGGACATCTGCTTGAGGCCGGTCACGCACGGCCTTTTTGTGGGGATTTTTGACGTGTTAGCTCCGTTCTTCAAAAGTCCTTACCGCCGGAGACGGAAATCCGTGGGATAAGGCGAGGTGTACATTTTTAGGGTCGACCTTTTCTAACCCACCCCTCCTTGTGGGAAGGCAGCATCGCTGTCATGCTGGTTGTCTGAAGGAAACACCTTACTGCCGTCACACCTCTGTACAGTCAGCAGTACGACTTCGCCTTCGGACCTTGGGTTGATCATAACAGTAATGTAGAATAATACTAGATTGATTGTAATTAGTTACAATTAATAAATTATTGGTCTGTAAATGGATGATTCCACTGTTCTGTTCATTAACTATGCCAACATTGATTGATCCACACTATTTCTTGTCCAATTAGAACATGAAAAAAGACAGCTATTTTATTCTGTTTATCTTATAACTTGAAACTCACATGATGATAATATACATGAATTACAGGATCAAATGTACAATAATTTAGACACTACAATTTGTACATAACTAAGAGGATATTTTGTAGTACAATACTGAGTAATAAATATTTAATTAACTGTAATTTATAGACAATAAGAGATAATATCAACAGTTAATGAGTTCAGTGAAAGCTAAACAGTCAAATTTAAACATTAAAATCATAAATTTTTTTATCAGTAACATTTTTGTTCATATTTATATTTTAAATTAAGACCATAAACCGGTGAATGTTAGACAACCATTGAAAACCTGGAAGCACTGGATGGTCGTTTCGTCCTAGTTTGGGACGTCCAGTCCTTTCAGGTTTTCAATGGTGGTCTAACATTGATTAGTTCATGGTCTCAATTAAAACTCAACAATCTTCACAACTCTATATATTTTTATGTTTGTTTTAGTCTGTTGAATCAAATTATGAAGCATTTCGTAAGGTATATGAAGAATCGGTCAATTTACTTTATTCATGTGTTAATGAGCTAATTGGTATGCATGATTTCCTAGCTGTATCCGATGATTTAATGTTGTTGGAATATCAAAAATCTATTCGTGCTTTATCGGTATGTCGTTTTAATTCTGTTTATCTCTCTCTTTTCCTTTAAAAAAGTTGTTGATATACGTATTCGGTTTTGAATTGTCAGATGATTGACAGTTATTGGAGTAGGAAGATAGTTTAATTAAGTTCTCAAAAAGAAACTTATCTTTTTCAGACTTTGTTTGTTACCACTTAGTGGTTTATCTGTCTTGATGGCTCAATCTCGTTATATATTAGAATCATGAAAAATGTAAATGACAACTGATGGAAGATGTGCAAATGAAGTATTTAATGTATGGTTTTCATAATTTACGGAGACACTGTAATTTTGCACCAAATGATTATATATATGTATATATTATAAGTCAGAAAGAACAATCATTATTCCTTAGACCGTGGATTATTCTTAAGAAAAATTATCCAAATTACTTACATTTTGCCTGTTTAATCATTTAAGTTATGTAAAACAAATCTACGATAGCTTGACCCAACTATATTTTTTAAAGAATTAAACTATATAAACAGTTATTTATTTATTCAATATAATCAGTGATTCTTGATCATAACAGTTATCAGTGTTATTACTTGTGAGTGTGTGTTTGTGTGAATTAACTGAGTTCAGGACATCTCGTTAACCTTCTTTATAATCGAATCAGATGGTAAATGATTTTTATGAGTATTTATGAGATTTCATTATAGAGGTAGGTAGTAAAACTTTTAAAGTAAACTATAATTATTTATTTACCATAGTTTGCAGAGTAAAATTCATTATTTGAAAAATTCGCATATTGTGATTTAGAACAACATATATAAGCGAACAATATTGTTTTCGATTAGATCCTCATTAGGCTTTACTCTAATATACAGTAATATTTATATGCATATACAAAATTATTAAACCAATCAAGGCAGTTTATGAGTCAATGATAACAGTGGAATAGATTACATAATCATCAAACTAGAGAATGGACCCCTGAAAGATGTTATCGACAAGCTTGACTTCTATTGTCGGTATGTTGATGACACTTTTATTATCGTGGATCAGGACATTGGTAAAGTCGAACTGTTTAACAATAAACACCAAGCTCTTAAATTCACATGTGAAGAGGAAATAGATAATAAATTAAATTTCCTTGACGTATTGTTAATAAAAAAAGCGAACGGCTCCATCAATAGAAGTGTGTTTAGGAAAAGCTCTTCATCTAGCCAGTACACACACTTCTTAAGCTTCGTACCTATCTACTATAAAAGGAACTCAGTCAAATGTCTGGCAAATAGAGCTAGGAAGATTTGCTCAGTCGATTCTATCAACAATGAGTTAGAGGTTATCCATAATATGTTGATTGAAAGGGGTTATCCACTAGGATTCCTGAAGAAACATTTACATTCAACAAATAAGAAAGTAAAGACATCAACAGCTGCGAAGAAACCACTCTTCCTGAAACTACAATTCAACGGCGATTCAGCTGATGATGTACTACGGGATAGACTGACTAAAGCAGTTAAGAGAGCGTTTAATGCTGCCGACCTCTTTCTGTCTTACTCGACACGATCTATGGTGATTCCCCAACTAAAGGACAAGTTGCCTGGTTATGCCACTTCTATGTGTATCTATAAATTCAGCTGCTCCTGTGGAGAAAGCTATATTGGGCGCACTACCAGACAATTGAACCAAAGAGTTAGTGAACACCTCCCTTCGTGGTTAGGAAAAGGTATTGTCAAGTCGATACGGAGCTCGATTCTTTCACACTTGATTGATAGCGGTCATGAAGTTGACAGAAACCAGTCTTTTAAAGTTATTTATCGTATTCCTACTACTTTTCCTTATGGGGTTCGATCTCGTCTCCTACTCATAGCAGAAGCTATAGGAATTCGATCCAACAACCCAAGTCTTTGTGTTCATAAGAAATTTGTAACACCCTTATCCCTCCCTTGGCCTTAATAAATAATCTTATTTTCCATACTCTTTCTTCGTTTATTTTTCTTCACCCCCCCTATCAATTATTTACTTATAATTTTTCTAATGTTCGCTTCCAATTATCTGAACACTTCTTATTACGTAATCTTATAATTTCTGTGATTGTTATTTCACTGTCTATATTTTCTAATCATTGACCTATTTTCCTATTATGTAACATTGATTCAAGCCTTTTATTATTCGTATCACAACTAGTACACCTGTCATTACATTACCAATTTGTACTTTCTACTTATTATTAATTTTGATTATGTAATCTATTCCACTGTTATCATTGACTCATAAACTGCCTTGATTAGTTTAATAATTTTGTATATGCATATAAATATTACTGTATATTAGAGTATAGCCTGATGAGGATCTAATCGAAAACAATATTGTTCGCTTATATATGTTGTTCTAAAATTCATTAGTTAGGGTATTCAGTTTTAAGCCACTAAGTCTGAGGTTCAAACCCCTTACCACCTACTTCAGTTTAGGTTGAAGGGTAGTATCACTAACCCTTTATACTTAGAATCCAACTCTAAGCCAAGTACACAAGTCTATTCGGTCTGACCGTAGCTTCCACTTTGACTTAGTGTTCGGACTTGTGTATTATGACAACCCAGTAGAGCTATTTTAGCTGGAACATTTGTTCTTTGTGGTCCTAACATATCAGGGAGGTCTAGTGGAGAATGATAAGTCTAAAAGCAATAACCTCAAGGTCCAAGAACGAAGTTGTACTGCTGACTGTAATATTATGCGATAACACTAAGGTGTATCTCTCAGACAACCAGGATCTGCAATGACGCTGTCTTACGATGAAAAAAGGGGTTAGTAAAGACTGGCCTTGAAAGTTGTACACCTTCTTGCTTCACGGATTTCCATCAATGGTAATGGGTCTTTCAAAGTACAGAGATGGCACATCATTTATATGGCCTCACCTTCAAGTAGTTATCGATTGTATTCAGCATATACTCTTTTAGATCTAAATCATTACTAATCCAGTATCCTTTTCATTTATCTCATAAAGTAGCATTCTTCTATAATTTATGAGCAACCATCCACACGACTCTAACAGAACTATTCTGTATCTAGTAAATAAGTTAAATTACTTTCAGTTATAGTTCAAATACTAATTTGTACTTTTTTCATTACCATTTTCTTTTATCAAAAAAAACCAAAATCAATTTATAGGATAAAGATGAATTAAGCGTTCAACAGACATCAACATCAATGCAACAACGTTCAGCTTATATTTGTGAAGTTATATTAAATAAAATGATTGCACGAACTGAGAACAATGAGTATGTTGATCAGGTGATGGAAAAAGTGACATTAATACGTGATCAAGTATGTTAAATATTTAGTAGGATAAAGTATTACAGTTTATATATTTGATTGTTAAAATTAGAATTCATTAAATTTTTGAAAATGATTTTATTGTTATAGTTTGGTTTCAATTATTAAAAATTTTCTTAGGAACAAGGATAATAGGTATATATTTCATTCTAGTGTAAGTAATTATCAATAGTTCTTGTTTATAATCTTATCAGAGTTAGCGCTCAAATGCCCTGGTACGGTCAAGAATGGGGAGGGCTTGCCTTCTCTCTCGAAATGCTCTCACACGGCTACGCGTATTCAGCCTCTGCCAGGAAAGTCCTACTCACTGCCTTCTCGTGGTGGGAGTGTTGTTTACGAAATTGAGAGGACGAGAATCGAATGTCCGGCGCTGAAACTGGGTTGGTGGACACGGAAAGTTGACCTAGAGAAGTTGGAAAACCCTGATTCCAAACCAATGGTGCACATGGGCTTCAGTATCCTGAGGGAACAAATGGCACATGAACCAGTCGTCGATCACCGGCCACCATGGGACTGTATCTCATTACGATGCTCCACTACCTTGTGTATCAGACCTTTTGGTCAAAGGCTCCGAGTGTGGTCCCCTAAGAAAAAAGCCTGTTTCAGTCTGAGCACCCGGTCAGTATCATAGCCCTCACACAGTTAAATGAAATGGCAATTTTTTGTGTGTCACATATGTTTCTGGTGCCCCCTTGTAACAATATTTATATGTTTAAATAAATAAAATAAATATCGGTGTTCAGAGCTTATGGATTTAGGTGTAACGATAAAGTCTACTGTCGTTAGTTTGTTGAATCAGTATCCAATAGTTCATATTTTCCAATTGCAATCAATTTATTGTATAATACAATAACCACGGATTACCATAATTATGAATAATTGTCTCGTTGTTTGGACATGACTGAACTCTTCTATTTCACTAGTAAACCACATTGATATCCGATCAATAGAACTCAGTTAACACTAAAGGACTAGATGAACATGATACTGGCCAATACTCAGTGAATAATCAATTGTAAATCTCTCAATCATACAGGAAGTCACTGGCATCCCGTAAAGCTCATTTGTAACGTCTCAGACTGTGAAACTGGTGAATACCAGTTCGAATCCACCGGCGAACATTAATTCCCTTGAGATTGTAGTTATGTCTTGCTGACGAGCGCCAACTAACACGAAACTTAGGTTCACAGTCTCTTGTTGACTACTTCTAATCATCTAATCATTCTAATAGTCACAATTTACCTCAAAGTCAGTCATTAATGGGCAATACATAATTATTATCAGTTCCAAGGCAATTGAGAGTTGTATGATGATTAGCTTTGATTAGAAAGAGTTTTTGTGAGGAAATAGTAAAGTGTATACGTACAACTTGCTTATTTGTTTCTTTAGAAAAAAAAATAAAGGTTGAACTTATCATTAAGTGAACTAAGAGTTGAACAACAAATCATAATTCGAAGCGTTATGGGTTCGATTACCGAGCGTGGGATCGTAAATGCACACTGCTGAGGTGTCTCATACTAGGACGAAACGGTTATCCAGTGCTTCTAAATTTTCATCGGTGGTTTAGCTTAGATATTTACATTATTTCAGTGAAATTCAACCGTCTCTACAATCCCATACTGAAAATCACATTTTAGGTACTACAGTCAGGATAGTCAACAGTAAAGAAATCGATAAATCGAAGTTGAGTTTATGCTATAAAAAATTAATTAAATCATAAGTTGTGTGTTACATGGTTATAAGTGAATTATATATTGCAGAATAGATTTTCTAATTCCTTCATTTTCCTTTACTGTGGTTAGAAAGCCTTGTTTAGTACGCATCATTGAAGTATTTCTCAATGAATGATTTATGAATACATAGTTCTAGATAAAGTAGATGATCGATCAAAACAACTTGCCTCATTTTTATTGTTCTAACTAAATCAGTAGTATAATGCGGTATTTGAAAAATGCAAACGAATTAATTTAAAAATACATGGAATATAATATCAGAAATGTGATTAATGATTTGATGAGTTTAATATTCGATCACTTTACTTGTTTTATCCTAATGAGCCGGATGTTTTACACTTCATTAGGATAGAGTGGAAATTTCATCAGTTAAAAATCCTAAGCATTATAAGCAGAGATACATGGTGGCTGACAGTGGAATCCAGGACACGTGTTTCGTCCTATTTAGAACTCGTCAGATGTCTGTACCTGCTTACAATGTCTTTGACTTAAGGCTATATCGAGGCCATCCCGCACAGAATGGACATATATCAATAAGAAACTGATCAACCACAGTCCTAAACATCAGTTGGAAGATTCAAAAACAACCACTATAGAAATGAGTTAAAAACCAATCCATATCATTTCTTTACACAAAAGGCAATAAGATTTGTTCATTTTATAAAAAGCCTTATTTTGTAGTGAACGAAGACTTCATGGGGATAATCTATTTGTTGTTTAATGCAAAATTATAGTATCTTCGTCAACTATGAGAACCGTACATTAAATGCTTCCTTTGCACATCTTCCATCAGTTGTCTCTTACAAACTTCATCATTCCTTCATTGCTGTTGTTATTACAATTAATCTCTGTTTGCATTTCTGTTCTCTTCAATTTTTCAACTGTCTACTACCAGGCATTCCACTCCTGATTGGCGGTATATACTACTTATATCCGTCAACATAATTAGCACACATCACAATTTTACATGTGCAGAAATGCTAATTTTTGTTTTTAAGTTCCACTTTTAGTTTATTTAAGATTATTAATATTTTATTTTGTCACGTTTTGTTTTGGATTACTCTTTTTTCTCTACATTTCTCGATTTGAAAACAAAATTTCATAGTATACTCCGGATTTTGTGAATATCGCACGTAATACGCTTAGTCGTTTAGCTGCTGGCCAGTCAATCGATGAAAAAGCCTATCGCTATTCAGGTCATGCTTTATGCAATGGTGTACATGATCTACGATTAACTGTTTTAAATGAATGTGATCTACCATTTGATAATGATATTGAGTCATTAAATTTACAAGATAATCATGGTAGTGTTGACAATCTCCAACCGTCGTCGTCTTCTCTACCTCGTCTGCCTTCACCTCCTCCCCCTCAAGATAATTATTATCATCGTCATCGTGATCAACATTCGAATGACAATGAACAAATAGAAGTTTCAGTCGGTTCAATGAAAGATAAACAGAAATTAATAAAAGAAGTGGACAGAGTCAATTCAATGTTAGAAAATAATTCCGCTTCTAATTATAACTATAAATTTCGTAAGTATTTACCACATAAACGATAATAATATGAAATAGAGTTTTACTTTTTATTTTACTAATGTGAACATATTTTGTAATTTCTTCCTTTATAGAGAGTGCTGTGTTCATTTTAATTTTTTATTGTTCGATTGGGTCCATTATGTAAAAAAGTTTGTTTCTTTGTTGTTGGTTTATTTTTTCTTGTTTTCGTTTCGATAAACTGTCTTTCACTGTTACTCTCTCCCCCCTCTCTCTCTAGATACTATTACTATTATTGTTAGTATGATTATTTTTCAGTGAAATGAGAGTTTTTCAAAAAGTTTCATATGATATATTATATATCCGTATATTTTGTACATGACGGTAGTTCTTGGTTGAAATTAATTTTATCCACAATTAATTTATTTAATAAAGGTCAATAAATAGAGGGGAAGAGTAAAGGATAATTCCAGTTTTATTTGTTAAAAATGTTTTTATTTATTGGAAAATGAATAAATGTGTATAGGTCGCTGGTTGGAACACTACCGCAATTCGGTCTCTTTTTTTCTATGTTTTGATCAATATCAACTTCAGGATTATCGACCGTTTCATGATTATTTATCTGATTTAGTCACAGTCATGTTCTTAACGCTTAAATAATTAGTTGTGTGGTGGAGGAATATCAAAACTCCACAAGAAGTTTTATTTTCAAAAGCTCACTAGTAATGTTTACAGTTCACGAGTCTTCACACCAACATGGATACGTAAATAATGACCTTGACTGAATTAATATTTCGCTTATCCATAATGGTCCACTTCAAATTGTATCTATTTCCCTATGATGCTATGAAGGATAGCATAAGATAATCTGACCAACTTTGCTCGGCATATCACCTTCCTTTATTGAGGGAAGTAAGTCTTCTTCTTAGAATTCTGTTGTATGAATATTTTGATGCACCATGACCTCCAATTGTGTATAGATAAAATTGGTACTATTTCTCCTGCCACAGTATCTCCTTTAAACTTATTGTTTATAAAGTGGATCCTCCTCTGTGCTACAGATGCTCTCAATACACCATACTTAGACTAACAATTAACAGTTTCTATCCATACAAGAGATATTTAGATGATACTTTCATTATTTATGACAAAAATATAAATTTCAAGACATTTTAGACAGTTTCAATAACTGTCATCATTTAATTACATTCACAATGGAATCAGAGTCGGATTAGAAATTCCACTTCGATGTTTTGCTAAGAAGGAAAACTGATATTTCGATATATTTAGAGAGCCAACCGAGAATGACCCGTACATGAATCGCAAAGTTGGATAACACTGAAGTTAAAGAGGAACCTGATCCTTTTTCTATTCACGAGGGCCAGACGAATTTGTATCATTTTTACAATCAACATCAAACTTGATAAACTATTGTTGATACTGATCAACAGTGAAAATTCACCTATATTCGTTGGGAAAATCTGAATTCTAAACAACAACATGAATAAGTGTTCATCGCACCAAAGAAGACTCTTTTCGTGAACATTCTGCAGCAGAAGAAATTCTAAGAAAAGAAGACGTCCAAAATCTCAAAGAAAAATATTCTATTGAGCTGAACTTCATATCGACTTTTCTAATCGGTCTTTCATTTGTAGTTGTGTGAATAAAATAATAATAATAAAAAAAAACAATCAGATCTCATTGTGTGAATATCCACTTCTTGAATTTGGGATCTGAATTTAAAGGTTCAAATCTATCTTTCTTGACCTATTGAGATTATTTTAAAAAAGGTAAACCGCATTATGGCGTATACTACTTATTTCGACAGACATAAACAGTATATAACACTAATCGGAAGTGGAAAACCGGGCAGCAGAAGGCTAAGAAGATCGAGTTAAAGAGGATAGAAGGAAAAATAGAAACGAATTGTGGACTTGAAGAATTATAAATAATGTAAAGGACAAATGATGGAAAATTTCAAATGAACTGTTCAATGTATGGTTCTCATATTGTACCAACAAATTCTGTAATTTTGTGTTAAAAATAATTTGGTTGTCCCCATCAGTGTTCATAGATTGTAATTTTTAAAACAGTTTGATTCATATTAGTATAGTTGAATAAACGACATCAAATAGAACAGTTCTTTGTTTTAACATGTTCTTCAAGTCATTGCAAAGTTTTCTCTTTAAACATATATGCCATATATATATATATATATATATATATATATATATATATATATATATATATATCACAATCTGTGTTGTTATAGTAACGTACTTTTCTCTTGAATCAAAGTGAATAACAAAGAATAATAATATAACATATGTTAAATAATTCAATGAGCTACATTCAAGAGAACTTTCTAATTGTGAAGGTCATCAAATGAAATACATTTAAAATATATAGGAGCTCAGCTAATATTTGTCATATGTAATGAGAGCTTAGATAGCATTTCATATATCTATTGTCCTAAGTATAAATATAAGAATCACTTTAGCCATTTTACAAACAGAGTATGTTTATTATCAGAAGGTTTTTTTTTGTGGAGATTCAGTATTTTCATAGTTGAAAGCATGAGTCAATTGAAGCTAGACCACCAAAGAAAACCTGGAAGCACTGGACGGCCGTTTCGTCCTATTGTTGGAATCCTCAGTAGTGTGCATCCACGACCTCGAGATATCAACTCTCTGATGACAATTGGCGAACGGTTGCTCAACTTCGTGTATTGGTTGAAGTTAGACATAAACACCGGATGCCGGCTCAGTGGTCTATCGATTAAGTGCTCTGGCGCGAGACTTGTAGGTCCATGGTGTGTTTCTAATATTTCGTGACTGAATGTAAGCCACTTCTTCAGAGCAAATAAATAACTGAATGGCGTAATTATCTCATAGACCTTGACACAAGATGCATAAATAATTAAAAGCTTTATCTATGAATATGTGTTTAATTCCTTAGTTAAATTTCAAAACCTTATACTTGGAGATTTATTATGACGTTGTGTGTAACAGACTAGCAGTACGCAAGTAGGTAAATACACATATAATACCAATAATAGTGATAACAACCACAAAAATATAGATAGTGATTTGGATAACAATTGTTTAATCCAATTAAAGTAAATCAAGGCTAAAAAGAAAATGATATAGTGAATATGGAATTACAAGATAATTAGGATTCTAACAACTAATAATAATACTGATACCAATACTACTTTCATCAAAATAAGTAATAAGTTCACATGGTACACCGTTATAAAACAATGTTAATTAGCTATCAATCAACTGTTTATTATCAGAGATAGAGTGTGTAGATCATATTTAATTTGTTTTCAATTCATAACCAATGTAACCAAGTTGAACATTATATTAAAATAGTTAAAGAATGACAACTCTAATATGATTATGAACACTTCCACCCATTAGATCCACAAAATGCTCATACCTCCTTCTCTATATTTCCTATTGACTTTAGTTTGAACAGCCTAATTAGTAATACACAGTAGTCTTCACATCAAATAATTCAGTTCAACGTTGACAACATAATTGATTGACTCTCCATTGATCGCTTAACTGTTACATATTATCAGAAGAAAATTAGTAAAATAAATGCAGTCTGAAATCAATTCTATTTCAAGATCTCGTTGTGTACTTAATAAAAAATGTCAACGAAACTCGAAATCACTTTAATTTCTAAATGGTCAATGACAAAAAGACAGATTTATCTAGACCTAAGATTCTTTTGAATATTATTCATAGTAATTTTTGCAGTACCTTAAAACTGTACACAATTAAGAAGCGAATAAAAAAAATATAAAATAGATTGTAACGCACATTAAACAAACTGTTCATTTTGTTTTGTTTTGTTTAAATGTGTCCACTTGTTATAAATCAAGTGATCTCCGGGTTAAATGTGGGTAGATAATGTTTCATTTAACTTGTTTTTGTTACTTAATACACAAAAAGGTTAATTCTATCTGTTATGGATACACATTTTACATGTTTATCTAAATGTGTGTGTGTGTGTATGTGAATGAGCACACACTCGCGTTTATGAATGTGTTTATCCTTCTTGTTGTTTTGTGTAAAATCAACCAAGTCATAGTATCTTCGCAATGGAAATGGTATAAGTTTTATAGTTAACTGAATAAGTCAACTTATTAAAATGTAAACTAACAACCGTTTTATAATAGAACAATATTTAAGATATTTATCACGTTACAGTGTACTTTTGTACTATTGAGAACAATTATGTATTGAACGTTGAAATCGAAATATTTGATTGTAAGTTGATACGGATGATGGCTAACAATGGGATATAGGACGCGCGTTCCGTTTTATTTAGGACTGGTCATCTGGATGTACCTACATCCCAGATTTGTTCTCTTCGGGACTCAAACAACCGATACAAAAATTTACGAAATATTTAATGTTTTACTTTACGTAAAAACATGCTTGCTTATCAAAAGGTTATAAGTGGCCAAACCGAAATATCCCATAAGACCATAGTTTAATAAACTGTTGGACTATGATGTGTCATGAGGTATTTTGGTTGGGCCTAGATATCGTGATGATCCATTAGAGCTATATTGACTGGAACACTTGTTCCTGGAGTTTTTAATATGACAGACGGGTCCATACGAGGACGGTACATTGGACGTTCAACTGTATAGTACTTTTAAATGTAGAAAGCTGTGACAGGATTAAGGTGTTGCTCTTAATTAAAAAATATTTGCTGCCTTCTTACAACAAAAGGATGCAGTTAAAATGGTTGATCTTAACAGTGCCTTTACCCTTACCACCTCGGTCCTAATAATTTTTATTTCAGCTAAACTTGCGATTCCAGAGTATCATCAATTTTTGGTCAACTAAACGCAATATATTTCTTGACTCGGACTACACTACTTGTATTATTTTATCTAGCATTTGTATTATTTTTAGTTATGATCGTAATTTAAAATTGTATTCAGTAGTAAAGACATCATTTTGTTGTTACAATTTTTTAATTGTAACAATCCGATTCTGTTATAGTGTTCATATTATTCTCAATGCTAATTTAGATGATATGATTCAGTATGCTATAGATCATTTATTTATTTATTTAAGCACATAAATATTGGTACAAAGAAGCACCAGATATATATGCGCCACACAAATCCCATTTGATTTGCGTGAGGGCTGTGATACTGACCAGGTGCCCAAACCGATGCAGGTGGTTTTCTTAGGGGGCCACACCCAGAGTCTTCGGCCTAAAGGTCTGATACACAAGGCAGTGGAGCATCGTAAGGAGATGCAGTCCAGTGACCGAAGATTGGTTCATATGCCATTTGTTCCCTCAGGATACTGGAGCCCATGTACACCATTGGTTAGTAATCAGTGTTTTCCAACTCCCCTAGGTGGACCTTTCGTGTCCACCAACTCGGTTAAAGCGCCGGAAATTCACTTTTCGTCCTCTCAATTTCGTAAGCAACACCTGTGGCACGCGAAGGCAGTGAGTAGGACTTCCCTGGCAGAGACTGTATACGCGTGTGAGAGTATTTCGAGAGGGAAAGCGGACTCTCCCCACTCTTGACCGTACTAGGGCATTTTGGGACTATAGATCATTTGTTTATACAATAGTGATAATAGCTTTATTTAATACAATAAAGTATTCTCAACACTAATTGTTCATTATTACAATAAATATCTCTTTAACCTGCATTCATCCCGTAATTATTCAAAATGCATTGTTCAACAGTCAGTGTCTGCCACCCTTAATCTGTTTTTTATCAGTTCAGTTGCTATAATTATGTTCCTATCCATCATGTATAAGGTGTTCGAATTCCAACGTATGTCTCTCGTTTTTTTTTCAAAGTATAAGTAGAATAGGAAATATCCAAAGTACTGGAGCAGTTCTGTTTAGGTTTTTATGACGTTGGGATAAATTATAATTCTTTTACAGTAAAGCCTAAACGAGTCCGCTTTACACTCGTAATTATTTGATCAAAACAAATTTCAAACATGTAGTTTCCAAGAGACATTTTCACAGTTGGGAAATACGCGTCCCTGACGTTTGAGTAAGCCGTTAGAAGCCTATACGTTTGAGCCAGGCTTAATATTGATTACAACCGAAGATTGACTGATATACTTAATGAGACATTTTTGACTGATTTATTGACTTTACTCAACTCTAAATGCTTGTGATCACAAACTATAGTGTTTTGAGACATTTACGACGGAGCGATAAGACGAACTTGCTAACTGATGTACATCACAAAAAATATTTTTTTAAGTGAAAATAATTCTATGTTCACAAGTAGTTATAGGCGAAGAAACGCGCTGATTGTGAAACTGAAACCTATTGTCTTCTTTTTCAGTCCTCTGAATATTTAAAGTTGTTTAAGTTCATTCTCAGAATCGGTTTTTACAACACAGAATCATTGAATTTTCATCTCTCAGGTCTGGAGTTTTAAAGTTATATTTTACCATTCCGAGAATTCATTCCTTCTAAAATTATGTCTATATGTAATGTTTACTACCACTGTGGTGTGGTACTGATATCGACAGATATAAGTAGTATGTATCGTCAATCGAAAGTGAAATACCTGGAGGTAGGTGGTCAAGAAGATCACAGAAAAGAGGACGAGACCAAAGAATGATTGGTGTGGAAACGAAAGAACAATAAAGTCTGAGACGACTGATTGACATTTTGCAAATGGATTATTTACCGTATGGTTCTCAGATTTTACTAAGATGTTCCGTAGTTTTGTGGTTCAGAATCGATCATCATAGCATAGATGGATACACGTTTTATCTTGCTTTAAGTTATGAATTCCAGTATTCCTTCAGAAATACTTCCTCATCCCGCTTTTTCTAGTCTTATTCTGAATGTTTAGCGTTTTTCACTTTCATTACTGTCGTGATTATTTTTTTTCCTGCTAGTTTATGATGGAAGTTTAGGCTAACGCATATCTGTTCCAAGCTTTACATTGATTGTAACTGATTGACTAAGATCCGTCTTTTATTCAGTGTAACCATGAAAAGCGAACCTACGCTTTGTCTGTTTTTGTTTTCTAGTTGGGATCAATTAACTTCTCTTAACTTGACTTAAATCATTTTAGTAAATTAGATTTTGTTCATTATTTCCATAGTTTCTAACCGATCAACTTGATTAGCGTCAGTTTGTTCTACGAAAATCACATCAATATTCATGTATAATCTCTCATACAAATTGTCTGTTCTGT